AGAAATTCTGATCTATGCATTTGAGTAACATCTCCAGGTACTACCAAAAAACACCAACAGAGTCATAGTAAACTACGAACTCTCTAAGACATATGGGCAAAGACAAGAATATATACCAGCCAACCTGGCTCTAGAATTTATATCTCCGACTCTTTTGTTTCCTCATCTCTCAAATGTGGATTATAATACCTGTTCATTAGGCAGCTGTGAGGATGTGTGAAGTAATGAGTAAAAAATACAGAGCACAGTTCTTGGCATAGTTAAAATTCAGTAAGTGGTAGTATACAGGTGCCATTATTATCAGTGAAGAAACAAAATAAATTATACTTGTACATATATTTATGCAAACCAAGGAAGGACTAAAACATTAATAATATGAAAACAATCTATGAGGATATGACAGACTTCAAGATAATTTAACATATTCAAATGCTACCATTTTATGATACTCCCTCTAAACTTCTTCTATTAACTACTTCTATTAACATTCTCAAAATTGGTAAATAAGATCATAGGATAAGGTGCTTAAATAAAGCGATTACTGCACTGTAGTCTTTCCTGTGACTGTGACTGCTGACACGAATTACATTTTTTTGTGTAGCACATGAACTGCACATTTTCTGGCTGTAACACCAAACCAGATGCAGAACACTCTCTCAGCATGAGTCATGGAAAGAAGGCAGCAAAATCTCATCGCTTCAGGAGGCAGGGCTGGAAAACAAGGCAGGAGGCACTGCATTGACCCTTGTTCTTTGGGAAAGAAGTGAGGGCTGATAATGAAACAAACCCATATGTAAAAGGAGCCTCCAGTTTCTGACTTTCTCCTAAAATGGCAAAGCAGAACTTAACACAGTTAAAAGAAGAGTCCTACTCTCTCCATGCTCACGTTTTCCATACAAAACGGAGGGCCTGGCCCGAATAACTCTTATTGTTGAATCAATGAAGAAATCAGTGACACCTCAATGTTAAGACTCTCCATGTGAAATAGCTTTGGGGATCTGAGAGGCACCAGGGATTGACAAACACAGGTATTCACTGGGTTATTCTCTAATTTCCCATTAATTGTTGAAATGTGACAACTAAAATTTTAATTCAGCTACAAGCAAGGATGTTGTGAGAGCATTTCTCAGAGTCCACTCACAAATATGATTTGGAACTTCATAATAAGTGAGATACAAATAACTTGTGATGATCTAGATGTGTTCATCACAGTTGTGCCATATACTCTTAGAATGAGGACACATTTAGTCTAATGCCGAGTTTAATCTCACATTATATAATTATAACAATTGTGTAGAGTAAGTATATACAACATAGATAATAATAAAGATAACAGCTAAAAGTTAGGAGTAATTAAGTCCAGACACTGACCTAAGTGGCTTTCCATGTATGACTCATGAATCCTCCATACAATTACCTGAAATAGGTTACTATATCTACTTTATACATGTGGAAACTAAGGCTTAAGAAGTTTACAAATACTTCCAAGTCCACATAGCTACTAATAATGGCAAAGCCAAATTCATACCCATGATGTCTGATTTCAGAGCCTTAAAGATGAGTCATCGTTATTCTGACCAACAGGTTTCATCTATAGCTTGAAATGCCTAAATATGAAATAATCAATATATAGATAATTGGGTGTTGTTTTTAAAAAGCTTCGCTTTTTCTACCTGTTGAAAACTTTGTTAAGTGTAGGCAACTATTTCTATAACTGGTTTTGATGTGATTAATATTTAAGTCTTGAAGCTGTTCCCTATACCTATGCATGGAATTATGTATTCCTATATGTGTGTTGATTATTATATCTATTTGGATTAAAAAACCAAAACCAAAAACAAAAACCAAAAAAAAAAACCCCAACATTCTAGAGCTATCTGCTCCAAACTCTTTATTTGACACAACAGTTTGGGTAAAAGGATTCTTTATCACTGACTAAATTGAATAAGATACAGCTGTTTACAGGCTGAATCTTTCAAGCTCCCAGTGTCTATCTGGATCTCCATAAAGACTGGGGTATTTTTGAAAAAATGAGGAAGTCTGAAAAACCTCTCCCAAGAACAGCAGCATTATGCGCACTAAAGACTCCAAAGGTCATTTCAGACTGGCTCTGATGATTTCTTTCCATCCTGACAGCAAAGAGAACCGTAACAATGGAAGAACTGGAAAAGAGGAAGGTTGGTGATTAAAAAAAGCAAAGTAGAAAAGACTAGTCTTGCTTTTTAATCTAAAGTGATCTGAAAATTTTTAGACTTGGTCGATATGGGTTCTAGCTTCCTGTTCTTTCAGATGACAACTGTGTCCAAATGGGCTGATCTGTCTCCTCAATAAGCTCGTCTCTCCCTTTTGTCCTCTGCCTTTCTTGTTCTTTTTCCAGCAGAAATATACATGGAAAGGTGGGGTGTGTAGTCTGCTGGGTTTGCTTAAGGAAGGTAGAATTTGATACCTGTAATAGGATGGCTGTTAACTTCTCAGTGGTGAGCAACCATTAGAAGACTGTTTGTCCATTAAATGCCAAAGTAACCAGGAGTCCACTATAAATCGACAGTTTCCAAGGACTGTAATTCTGAGTCCCAGAAAATCTGGATAAGAAGAAACTTCTAGGCAGCAAACAATCAGCATATCTCTGTGTGTGTGTGTGTGTGTGTGTATGTGTGTGTGTGTGTGTGTGTGTGTGTTTTACACTGTATGCTCTCCAGACTTTTCTCTTCAAGAGCCAGAACTCATTCCCCCAGTGATGGGGAATACTGGCTGCTGACCGCTGAAACCCACAGATGATCCCTCTCTTACCCATGGGAATTACCCTCCACCAAAGGGAGCTGCCTTGCCCCAATATTACTCAGTTTCTCCCCCATGGCAGCTCAAATCCAATGACGGCAAAACTAAGGAGAGGCCCTTTGCCTAGAAATCAGACAAAAAATGAGATAACCCTAAAAGGCCATTCCAGCTGCAGAGCTTCTATAGGTTCTGCTTCTCCCTCTGCCCAGTCCTGCCTTCCTCACTTCTTTAGAGAGTGGCGAGCACTCTCCTGAATCACCTCCGAAGGTCACAAAGCAAGTAAGCAGAAAGGCTGGGATTCAAATCCAAATCCATTTGACTATCAGCTCTCGGTTTCTATCAACTTTGTCAAGTCTTTGATTTACAGAATATAAATTCTAACATCTTAACAGGACATACGAAGACTGTCCTTTCTAGCCTCACATCCGTCATCACTCTCGCCCATACAACCTCTGGTCCAGTCACATCTAACTCTTTCTTTTCCCTGAACATGTCACACTTTTGCTTTCCCCAGAATAGGTCATTGTCCTTCTCTGCTTGATGATCACCCCCTTCTCCTACAGATCTCACTTCAAATGCGCCCTTTTCTGTGAAGAATTTCCTGACCCTTCAGTAGGGTTAAGATCTCCAGCCTTTAAGCTCCCACAGTGGGTTGTACGTCCCTTTAGCATAGTAACTTAATTATTGTAATGAGCTCCTTATAGGAAGAGACATGTCTTCTAACTCTGCTTCCCCAGCCAGCCATTTTAAAGATGCTTTGTTGGGATATATAAATAAACTCAATTGAGATACTGATCCTAGAGCCCCTGGCTGAATGGGTGCCAGCACACCCATGACTGGGAAGCATCGTATAGCACCACCTAAATCTGGACAAACTGTGACCTCCTTGACCAAAGGACTAATTTTTCTTCATCTATATAGCCTTTCCAAGACCTAACACTGTCTCTTGCTCTTAGAAGATGCTCCCCCGCCAAAAAACAAACAAGCAAACAAACAAACCCCTGAATAAACAAAAAACTTTGAACCAAATGAGGTCTTGGCTGACAAGGCTGATGTATGAGAATATTACTTCATTTTCATGACTCAGTCTATTTTTTTTAATCTTTACTTTTTAAGATACATAGGATATTTGTTTTCTTGTTAATATATTCTTAGATCTAGATTTTTAAAAATTTCTCCTTTTTTGAAACATTTTACCCCTTATTTACTGGAGCAAAAGATGACCTGTAGTTTGCTAAATTCCATTTCTAGATCAGGAATCAAATGTAATGTGGATCTATCACACACGACTAAGAAGTTTTCCAGCTGGCCTGCTTAACACTACATCTTTGTTTTAAGGGGCCTCTCTGAAACATAAATATGTCAGTAATCTCCAAGGTGGTTTTTTCCCCCGCTCCACTTTCTGAAACTAATAATTACGTATTGAATAGAGGTACAGATATCAGTATAGACACCAAACACTACTAGTACAAAACTGAGGTGGGAGTTGGGGGAACCCTTGTCTTACAAACAAAATCTGAAAGCCAGTATAATTGGGCAAGTAGCTGCATTCTCTTCACAGGAAATGGTCCAATTTTGTTATTGTTCTCAACTAAAATGTCCAAACAACAAAAAAATTGCTGAGAGCTGGCGGAGACTAGTCACAATGACGAGGAGCATTAAAAGCCCAGTTTCTTTCTTTCTTTCTTTTTTTAAATATATCTGAGAAAAAGGAAACTCTTCGGCACGTAGGGACAGAATTTTCTGTGCCCTGCGGAATATTTTTCATGTCACTCCATCACAGTCTCTGCTGCTAGTCTGGTGGGAGTAAGAAGAAACTGTGATAACATTTTCCTAAGAGAGCAGCACATCTGGTTATCTTGTTCTTCGCAAGTCTCTGATTATGTGTGAGCCCAAAACACAGAATTTAAGGCTTTTCCTCAGCGGTCTGGTTCTTTACAACTGCAGGCAGTCTGTTCCTAAGGACAGAAGTGCAAACTGCAGATACATCTGATTTCAAAATTTTACTCATATTGTTCAGGTCACACTCAGTGATTTAAAGTATGCTTGCTCAGGCTTAACTTTTCATCCCGTGTCTTTAAAATATCTATTCATTTATTTATTTATTTTTTTACCTAAAACTTATTGAGTTCAATTAATGAAGGCACCAGCCCCTTCTCAGTTGTGGTTAAAGGCAGAGCAGTTTTAGAAAAGCACAGTATAGCAGGATTGATGGAGTGTACCTTTTTAAACATCCTGGTGGAATCCTCACTTATTTGCATGAACCGCATAATCACATTGTTCAGGTAGATGTCACTCAAGGTTGCATGGTCTTTGCTTTCTCTCCTCACTTGGTTCAGGAGCAAATACCAGCAGTTCACTGGAGACAACAAATTCTGGTCTTTCCTAGGAAGTAAAGAAAGACAGAATTACCATGAATTATAAAGCTGCCCCAATCAGCTGTGGGAAGACACCAAGGCAAACTAGGAGCCACAATAGACAGGTACTGTCGCAGTTCTTTCTAATCTGGGCATTGCTCACACCAGGACACTCGACAGCCAGCAGAACAGGCTTCCAGGCTGTGATGGCACAGAGCCCAGAGATTCCCTAGGCTTGGAAGAGAAAACTTGGACTAAGAACACCAGTCAAAACCCACACTCCTGACAAGGGCCACTGGGACCCTAACACATACTGTACTCAGGCAGGCCTTCAGGTTTAAACACACTATTGAAAAAAGCAGTTCATGTTTACATAAAAGTCTGTAGACTCCTGTCTCACAGAAAAACCGTGGTCTGCCATTGCACACAAAGTCAGCTTTGACCGTTCAGTCTGTTGTTGGAAAAGAGATTATTTGGCTAGGTAAGCTTTCCATGGAACATAAATTTGAGGGTTATTTATTAACCCCCTCCCAAAAAGAATCAGAACTTTATAGCATTGTCTCAAGGTTCATGACTAGAAACTAGGATATAAAAAACAAACAAAAAAGAAAAAAAAAGAGTGGAAAAAGAAGGCTTGTGATTAGAACCAAGAAGTTTGCTGGCTTATAACTTGTCACACATGATGTTTAAATCCATTAAACTGTTTCAGATTTGTAGCTATTCCTTGCTTATTCTAGATAATAAAGCTAAAAGTGAACATAAACCAGAAAAGGGGATTTGTAAAAAAAATCTTAAAAACTTCAAACAAAAGCAGTGACCAACTGGAATGTTACCACTTAAAAAAAAATTACATGTTTTATGTGTTTTTTGTTTTATTTTATTTTTACTTTAAAATCTAAGTATAAAATGGCACAAAATGTTTATCTCAACTCAGGAACACAGGTGCCATTTTATCAGCCGTGTTATCCTATTATTCATGAGCAATTATAACTCTGAATATTAATTAAATCGGAAAAGAAATTATTAAGTCAGGTCTTTTTGACGAATAAGTCTCTCAGATTCAGGATTTAACACTGCATTAAGTCAAAACCCTCTCTGGGAAAAAGAGGAAGTAGAGGCTAGAGGTAGGAATAGGTGTAGGGGAATAAACCCCTGATGACGGAGGGTCTTAGCACTTGTACTCAGAAGAGAAGCTGCCCATTCCCCAAGCTGGCACTCTAAGAATTACACCCCTCACTGGAGGACCCCATTTTTTTCTCAAAGCGCTCAGGCAAAGGGGCAGTGGTTCTACGGCAAACAGATAGAGCCTTTCTACTGACACTCTTTATTCACCCAGCGCAAGGTAAATGTTACCTTATACTAATTTCTATGAATATCCTTTATGTTGAAGTAGCCCATAAATTCTTTGAGAACATTTCATAATTTCTTGTATCCTCAGTACCCTGCCCATAGTAAGCATTAAATAAATGTTATTTCATTCATTGAATAAATACTCGTTACTGCCTTAATGTAAATAGTAGTAGTAATAATAATATTGACAGCAGCTATCATTTACTGAGCACTGAAACAGTTCACGAGTCAAAAGCATGGACTATGGACCCACACTCAGGTTCAAATCCCAGAACTACCACTTAACTAGCTATGTGATCTTGGACAAATTATTTTAACCTCTCTGCGCCTGTTACTTTATTTGCAGAATGAGTAAATAACAGTACTTATAAGATTATTATGGGGATTGAGTTAATATATATTTTTATATGCTAACTAAAATGCTTTAGGGCCACAGAGTGCTATATAAAGTTAGCTCTTTTTAGCCAGGGGATGGACTAAAGACTATACCCACCGACTCTACTTAAACCTTATACTACCATTTAAGGCAGAAATTCTTTGTATCCCCTCTATCAATGAAAGAACTGAGGCTTAGCAAGGTGTAATGATTTGCTGAAGTCCAAAGTGTCAGAGAGTCTTTGAGTCCAGGGAGGCTGATCTAAGCCTCAGTCTTTCCACTACATAGTGGCAACATTAGGCCAAGGACTGTTCGACACTATTAGCACCCCAAAACTGAATAAGAACTAACCCCCAAAGTCCAGCTTAAATGATTGGTAAAGTTATAGTGTTAAAGATGCATTTGTCTGTTGAAGTGGGAAAGGAATGTTGTGTGTAGACCCCATGCCAGCTATCAACTGCATCAAGAACTTTGTCAAGTTTCTCATTTAATGGTCATAAAGTCTCATTTTACAAGTTAGGAAATGAAGGGCTCAGAGAGGTTAAGTAATTTGACCAAAGATACACAGTATAGCCAGTATTCAAACCAGGTCTGTCTGACCTTTCCTACCTCCTCCAAGTTTTATTAAGATGTAACTGACATATACATTGTATATGTTTAAGGTATACAGCATAATGGTTTAACTTACATATATTTGTGAAGTGATTACCTGTCTGACTCTTCAATAAAGCCTGTCTTTGAGTTTTTCCTAATCCTAGTTTGTCCTTTCTGTAGATTTATTATACATCTTATTTTCAGTCCCATATTCAATAATAAACGTATTCAAGTCAAAGAAAATTCCAAGTTGCTTATCTTTTGAAGAAAACTAGTTAACAAACCAGAAATGAAAAGTGGTAACTGATCCACTAAGAGACCAGACTACGGCGTATGGGCCTGTGAGTACATTCAGTTCACAACCAATTACCAACACAGAAGATGACATTTAAAATGTTTACCGAACAGAAGAATGGGCTGTCTTATTTGCAATGACTTTATAAAGAGACAGTTACTATAAATGTGACTGTAGTACTGGCTCCAGTCTCCTCTTTCTAGCTCCTGTCTCTGTCAAGTACATTTGACATTTGTACATCCTGGAAATCATCACTAAGATTTATTTCTATACTAGACCAACACCAGAGGTTAAAGTCATCTTAAAAAAAAAAAAAAAAAAAAAGCATTCTCTATCCAGAATAGTTTTGCACTTGCTTCTGCAAAAGTACTCCAGGGATAGTTCCTGTCCTATTTCTTAGGTAGGCTCCAAAGCAATAAGGGGTGTTAAATGGAACTGCAAAACCAATGGTGAAGGCAAAGACAGGAGTCTCTTGCAGCCCCTGCGTTGAGCGAACAGGCCAGGCCTCCTTGTTGTCGCCCTGTGTGGGTGGATGGAGGGCTTTCTGTTTTATCATCGCACTGAAATAGTAGTACTTCTAGTCCTGATTTTAGGCTGGGATGCAATGTGGTGAGGCTGGTGGTGGGGAAGGCCTCAATTCCAACTCTTCACACCTTGCCCAGACTCCATCGCCTGTCCTTGCATGAGACTAAACAGTAGTCAATTTGATCTTCGGTTCCCTCTTCCTCTTTTTGGTCCCTGGAAATTTCCCTTACTTTCCTATGAGTTGTACATTTAAAAGACTGTCTATTATATTTTAATCAAATTTCTGGGAGTTTTATGGTACAAGTATTTTTCAGATCATCTAGTCCACTACATTTCCAGAAATGAAAGACTGTGCTGCCTTTTTAATATCTCCTAAACAAGTCTGTTTTCTACCTGCAGTGACGGTAGTTCACGCGGTCACTGCAAGAGCCCCTACGCGGTCTCCCTCTCTTGACTACAGTGTCTTCCAGTCAACAATCGTATCTACGGTCTTTGTCATTTTAAAATGCAGATCTGAGCTGATCATTCTTCTACTTAAAACTCTCCAAAGGCTTCTCATGCTTTCAGCAGCGGTCCTCAACCTTTCTAGCACCAACCGGTGCTCCCATGAGAATATAATGCCTAATGATCTGAGGTGAAGCTGAGGCGGTGATGCTAGCGCTGGGGAGTGGCTGCAAATACAGATGAAATTTTGCTCACTCACCCACTGCTTACCTCCTGCTGTGTGGCCCAGTTCCCAACAGGCCACAGACTGGTAACGGTCCATGGCCTGGGGATTGGGGACCCCTGCTTTCAGGATAAAATCCAAACTGTTGAGTAGGAACTACAGGCCTCCACGATCTTGCACAACTTACGCCTGCAGTCACACAGCTCACTACCTCATTACTCACTGCCACAGGATTACTATCTGTTCTGCAAAGCTGCCCTACACCCCTTCCCTTCTGGTCCCTCATGCATGATGTTCCCCTTGCCTGGAACATCCTGCTCTGGTCCCCTTAAATGGCCAAGTAGTCTTTCAGGTCTTTCCTTATGCATCCCTTCTTCCAGGGCCTTTCCTTCACCTTCCCTCCCCCACTTCCACTATGGGATGGATTTCTGTCAGTCTGTACATACACTCTGTGCTTATGCCTGTTGTAGCACTTGTATACTCTGTTGGAGTTGTCTCCTTGTCTTTCTCTGTCTCTAGAATTTAAATTACAAAGTAAATTTCATTATCAGAAAAACCTATGTGTATTTTGAAACAAATAAAGTATGACTAATATAAGGTTTAATTACATTCAATCATTAGCATTTACCAAAGACCCTTGTTTTAAGTCACTCTCAATTACTATGACCATAAATATGATGAGGGCAGGGCGGCACTAAACTTGAGCAACCCTTATTACTTCTTTTCATATAAAATCACTAGAGAAACTTCTTTGCTAGAAGAATCAGCTGTTTTAAATTTGCTCACCCAAATATGTACCTGTGGCAGAAGTCAACTCCTAGTTCAATGTAATCAAGAATTTTATAAATATTTAAGTTTTCTTCTTGAATATAAAGTAATCCACGAATATATACTTACTGGAAAGAGAAAAGTGTCAAGAATACTATTAATTTAAAATGTGATAAACTGATATCCATCAATTATAAACACAGATGGTTGCTTTTCTCTATGGGGATATGCCAATCAACAGCTCATCAGACAAAAATGAAAAATTCCAAAACCAACGAGTGTGGTAAAAAGGTAGGATATCATCTTGGAAAGGTGAATCCAAGTACAGTCTCTCTTACTTGTACTGCTGATGATCCTTAGTGCTTCTTGTTTTTGCCATGAACCTTTCTGCTAACTTCTCTAGGTTCCGAGAATATTCCGTCTCAATTTCGGCTTTTTTCCGGAAGAAATCTTGCAGGTCCTGGAGAAGCTGAACTCGCATCTCCGTTTGCTGCTCAAGGCATTTTTGTTGTTCTACCAGTTGAGCTCGAATTTCTAAGGAGAGAAGAGAATCCATCTGATGATTTTGTGAAAATTACTTGTACAAGATAAAAGTAATGACTCCTATTATACATTTAGCTCTGTTATCAGAGTTTCATGAGACGACTGTGACCAGGTCAGCTCTTTAAATAAAGTCTATGCTGACCCTTTAAAAGAATGAGACATGCCTCAGGAAAGAATGTAATAAATTAGAGTAGAAACATGGGTTACATTTGTAATGCCACAAACATGCACAGAGTCATGAGGGAAAAAAATTAAAGCCTTTCAGATAACAATTCATAACATGTGACATCTTTGGGTAGCTGAGTACACTGTAATTTTTTTCAACAGCATTTTACCTCAACTATCCCTTTTGAGTTTGAATGGCAAAGAAGTGAACATCATTTCTTCCAGACCTCTGAACCACATATATTTGCCAGCTGGCAAATACAGACACTGACATCTGGTAACTTTTATTTAATGGGTATAGTTCTAGTTTGTAAAACATATAGCTTCAGGGAGTCTAAGGATGCTATGGCTAAAAAGAATTTCTTTCTATATCCAAATAATTCATTCATAATGGGAGTAATCCTTGGATTCCACTTTATCGCTCAATTCATCAAGAGCTTTTCACTTGGCCTTCACTTTGACACAGTGTTCAAATTAACAGACTTATGGACATACATATCCTGAAAAGAATCCTTTGACAATTTTAATGTATTAGGAACACAAAGGTTAGTCATTTAGCGATTTAGCAAAAACACAAAAGCAAAAGTGTGTTATGTAAAACTATCTGTAAGTGACTATAACAATGAAACATGTGTTTTGGAAAATGAGATACCGTAACTAGTAACCACTGATTTGTTTCTGTTCTCAGATCCAGAGCTAACCTCCAAAGACAAGAATATTCGTATTGGAAAATTTCTTTATTTCATCTTTCCCAGGGTCAGTGCATATTCTCTAAAAGTGAAGACTGAATCTAATTCAGTGGAGTTAACAGAAACCCGTGTCCAAATAACACCACCTCAATTTCTATTATTTTTCAATAGAGAAAGACTGAGCTGATTATATGTTTAATCAAGCTCATTAACAGCAGGGTAGTCAAGTTCTGAATGGGGAGTCAGAAAATTTGCTCAATGTAATAATACCTAAAAATAAGCAAATTTGTTTTATATTCTATTAAAGTAAGCACTAGTGTATATCCCCATTTTACAAATAAGAAACTGAGGTTTAAGGAGATTAAATACTTTATCTAGGGACTTCGGTTAGTATGTGACACCCCAGAATCTCTTAACCCAGGTATGTCAGTCAGATTAATAGAACACTTCTCCCCGACTTCCATCTATTAAACATGTTTTTAGCACCTTCAGTGTGCCAGGTCTATATCTTGGCAAAGAAGATACAGTAACTATGAAACAAGGTCTCTGTCCCAATAAGGCCCAAGAAGGTTATGTTCTAGGCAAAACTATTTTGGGGGAATCTTGGCAGAAGATAGAGAAATATTTCTCAAGTGCCCTCTCTTGGTTTCTCCACTTCTGGATTGGGGGATCCTATTATTAATTTCACAGAAGTGTGGTGAACACAAGAGTGAAGACATTATTATAGACTTCTAACCACCATGAACAGCATCTGGTTTTTAGTCAATCAAAGTAAGTGTTTTCCAATACAGTATTATAATCAGGATGTCTGCCAAACTCTTTCATCCACAAATACAGAACTATTTTTGTTTCATAAAGAAAAAAAATCAAGGGTGGGCGTATTTCTCATTCAGGAATCCCAGTAAGTCTTTCAAGATTTAGTAATTTTAGCACATCTTGCTGTGCTACAAGAAAATAAATCAATCGGCTGAAGCTGTCAACTAGTTTTGTTTTTTTTTTAAGCTGCCTTAGTGCCAAATAAGAAATAAAAGTAGCTGAGAGTACAAATCTCATCAGAAGTACACAAAAATTAAATGGGCTTCCTTCTTCAGTCTTATTCTTAGATATTCTCCTGTTTTAATTGTTTAAATACAATTGTTGAAATTGTATTTAAACGAAACGTCATCCTCATTTTGCGGGGAGTAAATGTTACTTCATGTTATCTGTAATTTTCCAATCAAAATAGGACACTGGTGGCATTTTCAACAGTGAAAATGTGGTGGGACAGAACCTACAGTATCACTGGGAGAAAGTAAAATATGTTCCAAAAACTGGAGAAGGAGAATCTATTTGATTACCTCTTTCATTTAGAAAAGTTTAGGACAAATGAAGAAAAGATTCCAAGGAAAAAAAACCAATGTAAGTACTACCGTAACAAATAGTTTGTTAGGAAGAGAAACCTTTAGGATTTCTTGTATCACATCACAGCCACAAGACAGCGCAATATAGTAGGTCGTCTCCCTGTACATATGATGCAGCTTTCTTTATATGACCTCACTAGATTGGAGCTAACCTAATATGGCACCAAAAAATTTAAAAGATTTTTAATTACATAACTAAATGAGTAAAAAACAAGCTTATTTGTATAAATTTTGGTCCATTTCTCAGAAAAGATCAAAGCTGGGCCCCACACTATCAATAGTTGTGATGGCACCACAGGTGGCTAAAGGGCAGAGCACCGCCATCATCCAAAGTACCACAGTATCATTAGGGCTGGAAATGCTATAAGCATCACATTAAGGAGTGATTTCTTGAAATATTGTGAGCCTATTTCTATAGAAGGGATAGCAGCTTCCTTTCCTCCCAGATTCTTT